TGGTTTCTTCTTTTTATTGTGAAAGCTTTGATGATTTGTAACCATTTTCTGCATTTAGATGAGTGCATTATGTTTGTGTACGGAACAGAAAAATCTACATAGTCAGACAAAGAAAAAAATCCCCTAAATTAATGGGAATATAGATTGAACAATTCTTACACACTCTATGTACCAAAAAAGAAATCACCTGTACGAATGAAATAAGCATATAATAAAGAGTTTAATCGAAGTTTCTTGTCAATCATCTTCGATGAAACCTGCATAAAAGAAGGATTGCTACAAAATTATATATATATATATATATATATATATATATATATATATATATATATATATATATATATATATATATATATATGATAAGAATCAGTTAATTTATTTTTATAAAAAATATATATACGAATCATATATTTTACATGTAATATATATATTTATATATATATATATATATATATATATATATATACGCCATATACACACACCATATATATACACACATCAACCCTTTTTGCGTCAACGCCAACTTTCACATAGAAAAATTTCCACTGTACACCGCCCTATAGTTAATATTAAAAAAATTCCAAGATTGTTTGATAAAGTTTGTTACTGGTTCATAAACTGACTTTATGATGTACTAAAAATAGCAAAGAGTTGCAAATAGCAAATAACTAGCAACTAATAAAAATTTATCTGATATTTTGATGTTTTTATCTGATTTATATCCTCAAAAATGTTATTTCGTCAGAAGAACTATTTGAATGTTAATGACAGGTCTAAAAACTATAGAAAACACTAAAATATTCTCTGTTTATGGTGGATATTTAGAAATGTGACCCAGGGATTTTATTTTTTAAATTTTATAATTTTTTTTTTTGGCATATTTCCTTTGAATATTTGGTTCGGGGAGCATGTGTTGAAATTCATTTTTAGTAATCAAAATTCTATATCGCCCACCAAAATTTCTAATCGCCCATAATTTTTCTGTTCAGTTGCCCATCGCCCACCGGTGGGCGATATTACCCCGTTTGAGAAACCCTGATATATACGAATCATTAGATTAATATTGTTTTTGTGTATATTAACATCTTTTTGCAGGTATTTCTTTTATAACAGATCATGAAATCGTAATAAATCATTGATTGATTTATTGAGTTGATTAAACTAATGATTATTGCATCCGACGAAACGTTTTCATACGCATGTTCAAAACAAGCTACCGGCACGTTTTAAAAGAAGACGCATTTGAAAGTTGGGCACGGAGGCCATTTTGTTTCTGTAACGTCATGGAGCCGAATAAAGAAACGCAAAGGAAGAATTTAAATCGTCAGTCATCAAGTACATGTTTTTGTTTTTATTTGCTAAACCCGAACCATTCCTTTTGTATATATTTTGAAATCATTTGTATATTTTATATGATTTTTAAAGCCTTATTTACTTTTTATTCTTACCCGATATTGTTTACCGTTTGTTGTTGTGATACAAATGTTTTTTTTTATTTTACTCACTGTTTTATCCTCGTCTTCTCATTACAGCTATGTTTGATTATGTTTTCCAATTATAATTCTCTGCTTTTTTCTAACTCTGCACCTCATATTTGATTGTTTTAAATATGCATATGAAACCATATATATATATATATATATATATATATATATATATATATATTGAGCAAAAGTATTTTTTTTTTGCAGGTATATATATCCATGATAATAATTCTGTAAATTTCTTCATTTTTGTCCTAAAATAATATCGAATAATCCTAGTTTGCCACCTTTGTTGAAATTTGTAAAATTAATGCTTAATTATTCAATCAATTATGTAGATTTTATTCATCCACTAGATAGATCGTTTCCACGTTCAGTCTACATATAGGTTTTATTTTGTTGAAATTCTCTAAAACTAATGCTGTGGTTCTTAATTATTCAATCAATTATGGAGGTATTATTCACCAACTAGATAGGTCGTTTCCACGCCTAGTCTATATATAGGCATTATTCACACACTAGATAGGTCGTTTCCATGCTCAGACTATTCACGCTTACTCTATATGTAGATTTTATTCACCCAATAGATAGATCGTTTATACGTTAAGTCTATATGTAGGCTTTATTTTGTTGAAATCTCTACAATTAATGTTATGGTTCTTAAATATTTAATCTTATTATATCTTCTTTTTCCCTGTGTAAGAACCCAGTTTATATTCTCAGTTAATAAATATAACCGATGACATTCTTGGTTAACTCGTGGTATATTTCATGTTAGTTCATATCTTCATTGTAGCTGATCTAATTCGAATTTCAATGACAATGACAGTACTGCTGTCAGGTTAAATTTATAAAATCTTTCTCTTAAAATGATGTTTCAAGAAAAAAGGTTTCTCAATCCCAGTAGCTGTTATCGCTACTTCCATTGTTAGTCCTCAAGTGTTGTGATTTTTCCTATCTGATAGAGTCCTTTGTGATTACATAGCGTCAGTCCACAATGTTCAAAGACGAGTTGTCATTGCAAAGTCTCACTGGCTTTACTCGCAAGAACCCATTTTTAACAGTTAATCTTAGGAAGCGGTTGTATACCGTTGACAATTTA